TCTAGCTATCCCCCAATTTTCCGCTGGATTTACAAACCGGACGAGCAGAATAAAAACTTAAACGACTATAATACAATCATTTCGTTTAGAATTTTCACGAAAAATTGATTTCACCGTGCTATACCCCTGTTTTTGATATTCATCCATTTATATACAATAGAAACATGCTTTGCCCGCGCTACGCTCGCTTTTTCTCATATTTTTACTTGCATCCAGCGTTGTACAATGACATTTGAAAGATTTTACAAAAATTTTTCGAAAATTGCATATATATTTGGAAACTGATAGAAATAAGGGATATTTTCTTTTATTATATGCCATAAATAATTAACGATTGAATATTTGATTTGAGCAAGATACTTTGTTGCATTCAAATAAACAACAATGTCAATGATTACGGATTACGGAATCGGCAAGCCTTAATTCACGTCACTTCTTTTTCTTCTCTCCCTCTTTTATTCGCCGCCGCGAGATGAATCGGTCTTTCGAAATGCGCAGGGAGATACGTAGTTCAGAGCGATGTTTGCGATCTCGTCCGCCATTCCTTCGGTCCAGAAATTGCACGGCGTACGTCATGCCGCTTCCGGGAGTGCGGCAACGAACCCTGCGGGCACAATAAAACTGCACCTAAACAACGTCAACGGGCGGAGGGGCGAAGGCGGAAAGAAGGAAAAGGGCGAAAGGCATCGAGGAGGGGAGAGATCCCCGAGCTGCATCGTTACAGAAAAAGGTCGGGTCAGAGAATGGAGCGACGGCGAGGAGGGAGGCGAGACGAGGGGAAGAACCTAGGCTCCGGGAAGACGTGATCGCGTTAACAACAACCGACGAGAAAGGTGGGCGTTTCGAGCGATCCGGTTTGAATAAGTAGTTACCGGCCTAATAGTAGTGCCGGACTGTGACGACCGTGGAATACCGAAATTTCGGCCAGGGGCACATCCAGCAGATTGGTTAAAGAGGGGAGACGAGAATTCGAAAGGGTTGCCGAGTTCGTACAGACTGCGGACTTATTTAGGTCTACGGCATCAAACCGCTATAAACACCGATCGCCTATCTACCCCTCCGCTGACTCCACGCCGCTATCTGGTATGCGACCGTTGGATAAAGCGGTCTTCTCCCTTTGACCGGCCATTGCCCTCTTCAATTGTCAGTTCTTTCCCTGTCCGGCACGTATTGCGAAATAACTTTGGAAATGTATGCCGCAGATGTAGCCCAATTCATGTAAAAAGTATCGAGTAGATCTTGCGACTGGATTTTATTCGCGAGAAACGATTTTATTTCATTTCAAGAATTCCATTTGAAGAATCTATTTTCTCACACCATTTTTGCGACATTCTATATTTGACTAATTTGATTAGGATCTATCAATCGCGGGGGGGTTTTTTTTTATTCCGCGCGTGATACAATTTAAAACGATTGTTGAGGGAAGAATGCGCGTGCAAAAATTATTTTGAGAAAAATGCATTGAGATTTTTTTTAGTTTTGAGACATTTTTGAAAAACCAATTGCGATTTTATCAACGACGAATGAAATATTAATAATGTAATTTGTAAACGCATTTCTCTCAAAATACATTTTTCGCGTACTTATATTCCAGCGCCTCAATTTTTTTCTGCTTCTTCGTTCTAAGCAAGGCGAGTAGGAAACAAGTAAACGCGATGCAGGATAAGATCGAAGAAATGTCAGCGTCTTCCCTTTTTCCTTTTATCGAAATTACAGAAAAATGAACGTTGTCCGTGGGCATTTCCTCGTTCAAAAATATCTGTGGATTTTCGTTCAAGAGAAAGAAAGAGGGAAAGAGAGAGAAAAACGGGACGCAGGTTATCAAGGTTACAATTTCCGCGATTTTCACTCCGCCGTAAATCCCAGGGTAAAGTCTCTTCACAATAATAAATTTGTCGTGTGCGTGTGCGCGCGTATATGAACTGGTAAAACATTGGAATAGCTCTTCTTCGATTTTGAGAGTAAGTTACCCTCCGCGGTTGATGCATTCAGTGGGTTACAAAGTCTTATCAAACTGCAAGTAAGCAAGGTTTACGAGACTGCTTTGCGCTCCTTTTAAATTTGAAACTTTCCTTCTATCGGGAAACTTGGTTTACGCCCATCGTTGGAAACTTTATCTTTTAATTTTTCATTTTCTATTAGTCTACTATTAATTTTTGGGAAATATGATGTCCATAAAAAATTTTTTTATTTGCGGTTAAAAATTGCGCAGTGATATTACGAAGACTGACAAAAAAGAATTATGATTGTATGATGTTATTAAAATGAGTAAGATTTTTTTACTACAAATAATATTTAATTATATAATAAATTATATAATCAAATACATAATTAAATTATGTAATGAAATAATATTAAATTCTTCGCTGTTTTAATTTGAAGCGATTATAAGCGGCAAATTTATGACTCCGACAAGAATCGCTTATTGGTGCAGATTTCAATTCCATTGAAGACTATTCTTGTTAAATCCAATATGTAATATATTATATTAAAAGGAGAAGGATTTTTCTTCTCAATAGCATTCAATTCTCAACTGTTCTAGCGTTAAAGCGCTTATAGGCGTCGAGTCCGCGGTCCCGGATAAAAATCGTTCATGAGCACAGACCTTAATTCCATCGGAGACTGCCTTTTTTAAATGCAATACGTAATATAAATAAAAAAAAAAAATCCTTCAACACTGCGACGGTGCTCTCGTGGACGACAGTTATTATCTCTTCACAAATTACATCGAGGTAGCGTAGCAGGGCTTTTGGTCTCAGCCGTGATAAACCCATCTACTCCTACCCTGGCGCTATGCTGCCCCCCTCTTTCCCCTAGTCTTCCTGTTCCCTATCCCTATTATTTTCAACCACCCAACTTCTGATATACCACCTGCAACCCCATTTACCTAGCTACTCTATATGTACGTTAGACAACACTTATTACCCAGGTAATACAATCGCATAATGCGCCCCCTCGTCTTCGCGCCGACGATAATGCCTAATTTAATGGCAAGGAGCAGCATCGCAATCTCGAGTCTAACGAGAGATTGCTATCCGGATGTTACGCGCCGTCGATCAAATTAATTTACAATTATGATTACAGCGATATCGCCTGTCCGAGCGTGTCTTCGCTTTGAGGCGCATGAATATCTATATCAGGCTGTGTGCTATTATATAACAGCAAATAAGCTTGTCTTGAATTACTTGTCTTGAAACTTGAATTAAGCACTTTAAATTCGCCCGAAACTAAATGTAAAATAATACAGTGTTTCAGGTTTATATTTGCAGAAATAATTGATAATTAGGAAGTGTTTTTTAGTTTCTGCATTTTTTAATTAAAATTGATATTGTTTAGTGGTACATATTTTAGTAACGCGATATCAGTTGTTGCACAGTGTCTACTTATTTAAACGTAATGAAAATGTTTGACATAAATGACTGGGTAACAGAGTAACTAACGAGAAAAGTTCGGCAAACCGTGTGTGTTCGGGAAAGCTTAAAATTCTGCACAAATGTAAAATAGTTACACTCTAGCATGCAACTATTTTTTTGTTGCGGTTAAAAATAGATCTGAAAAGTGATAGAAAAATCGACGTCAAATTGATCACAGAATACAGCCGCAAAATCTAACGCTGTTGCAGAATCATTCTGTATTTTAAAGCAGAATTGAAATGTGCAATTTGTGCTTTTTTTCATTGGTCATTGCGGATAATAAATGTACGATTAATTAATTTATGAGATACTGGCTCACTCGAAGAGTGTGATAATGCGAGTATCGGCCGTTAACAAGATCGTATGACGAGACCATATGCCATTACCAATTTCCTTTGTACTCGCATCTAAATGTACGCATACCTCTGCGTCTACAGACACGCTCTCTCGCAGAATACATTGTGCGTAGGAACGTATCTCCGAGAAATTGCAGAGACGATCGATAGTCGAACGCAACGAGCTACCGCAAGTATCGATGCATATTCTCTGTGTCAGCCATGCTCGAATCGACAGCTATCGTGTTAAATGCATAATCTTATGGCTATATTTGGAGACCTTAACAGTCTATAGCACGGAGCATGTTATCCTCCTTTGTGCTGAACTAGATTATGTTCAAGAAATTTCGAGATTACTTCCTTCTTACAAAGAAGCCACGTAGAAGACGAGCGCGGCGCATAGCTTTTATTATACATAGCTAGCTCTCTTTTAAACATAACAGGCATGGTATTTAGGATCTGTGAAATTTTTGAAGAAGGAAGGATTGAGAAAAAAACCTTTTTTTTAAAAATAAATAGAAAAAATTTGCAAAACATAAATCTATCTCGACATTCTTGCGTAAGAATTTTTATTTCATTGCGAATTATTCTGTGTAATCATTCAGAAACGGAAAAAATTCTCTAAGAACGAAGAAAAGTTCTGGAAGGAATTTATCGAAAGACTGGAATCATACTAGATATTCCACGCTGCGAAGGGAAAAGTTTCCCTTAACACTTTTAATACGTCAACGGGATGAAGCATTTAAAAATCCGAGATAAAAACACCGCGAGACGGACGAGCGCTTTATTTTATCTCGAATTACTGTTTCGAGTTGAGCAGACCGCGGAGAAGAGACAATTAAAACTTTAAGCTGAAATAGCACCACCGTCACCGTCACTTGGACAAACTGAATTCTTTGGACGGCGGAAAGCTTTCTTTAGTTGGAGCAACAACTCGCTCAGGAGAAACTTTTCGCGATGATTTAAAACGCTTCACAAATGTACTTTTAAGGGGTACTTATGTATTCTGATCTACATATCAAAATCATTGTCACCATCCAGAACGCGTGTTCTATAGTAAAAATAAGATATCTTAAATAAAACTTATATTTTTGTAAATAAAAATATATACTGTTCAATATTATTTTAAAGAGTAAATAATAATTGTATTTGCAGTTGATATCTTCTTGTTAAATTTTTCGAAATATTAAAGGTTCGTAATATATGTTACATGCCATTTATCGATTATTTGTTTAATTCTACTTATTTTTAGTGGTAGAAGAGCAATCTGTTAATCTAGAAACGATAAATGTGGACGAAGACATTGAAAATTCTACAAATCGTGAAACAGGTGAATCAATATATTAAGCCTCTAATGAGATTTTGATATTTAATCTACTGTTATATAATGTATATATAAATGATATTTTTAATAGACGACGAAGAAGACGATGAAAATGAGGAAGAAGAAGAAGAAAGAGAAAGTGTTCTCCAAGAGACTGACTTTAAATTGGATGAATTTCTTCAAAGGTGCAATATGAATAGAATAATAATATTGGATATTCTTACTAAGTCCCTTTTCATCTATGGAATAATTAATTACTTTTGTCGTATTTTTCACAATTCACTTTTGAATATTTTAGCAATTGAGTTTTAAAGTAAGAATTTGTCAAGTTTTACTTAAAATTAAATGGAAAATAAGATTTTATTATTTGTTTGCACTTTTGAACCTTCTTTTCTTAAAGAAAAGATTTCAATCAGTCAAAGAATTACGATTGTGTACATAAGACAATGTCTTTGTTAAATGTAGTATTTTATTCAAAGGTTTGCCAACGTGAAGATCGTCAAAGCTTTAGCACTGTTACTACGAGAGTTCGAGAATAATACGATCGAAATAAATCACTACGCAACAAAAATGCTGCACCGGATTGCTTGGGATTGCAAAATGCCGGGCATGATATTCCAAGCATCCATATTTCGGATTTTTCAAAGAGCTCTCGAGTCAAAGGACCCTGCGCATAAGGTAATTGAGCATACAAAGTGAATCACATACCAATAAAATCACATATTATGCAACAACTAACAAAAAAGTTGCATGTAGTAATTTTTGTTTGTTTGCAAAATCGTTGGCATAACGTACATTTTTGGCAAATCTAGCATTCTTTTCAGAAAATTTCCTTTTCTACATAGCGTAACATTTTATCGATTTTTACATATAATAAGAATGCAGATAAGGCTGCTACTTCTCATTCAACAATAAAAATTTTTCTTTTTTTTATGCCATACAATAAATTTTACCACTGAGCTTTTATTGCATCCTTGTATCGAGCTTAATGGCCCACAAAAGTGGACTCGTCGAGCAGCGTAAAATCGATTTCTGCTTTAGGAGCTCCAAAAGTTCGCGGTCTTCATAATCCGCCGTTTCACCGAAGTCGCCCAGAAGAACCGGAAGTCGTACATGGAGCTGCTCTTCTGGAAGACCACCCGCGACGCGACAGAAATCGTAGATGGATACAACGCAGAACCGACTAACAAGAAAGTTTCGCGAGCAGTCTGGACGGAGGCGGAAGAGGACGAGCTGCGTACTCTCTTCATGGAACATCAGACTAACAAATACCCGCAAGGTAAACTCTTTATATCGTCCATTTCTCATGGAGGGGTCTCGTGCTTACATTTCGTTGAACTCGATACATTAGAGAGACGCCTCTTTATACGAGAAAGCACCCGAAATGCTTTTATTGCGTAACGCAAGAGAAATACGAATGGCTCACTGCAATATTCACGATTTTTAATATTTTATTATTATTGGTAAACATACCGTTATTTATCTTTAAATATGCATCAAGAAAAATGTGAATTGGAACGCGAAATTGCGCCACTCATTTATTGCAATAATTATCATGTCGTTGTGAATTTGCAGATTTGATCGATTGGTTACTGGAGCACCTCATTAATGAAAATAGAACGCGCCGTACCGTCATTAAGAAACTCAAGGAAATGTGTTTGATTGTCAATTCGAAGGTTGGCTATACTTTGTTCTACAATTATTTTTTGATAAGACAATCGAATTTATATTCACTTTTTTTATATGAACTGAAAAATAGTAATATAGCTGTAAGAGATTTCGTAAAGATTTCTGCTCTCTCACTAACGCCAAAAAAAGGCATCAGTCCATGTGTGTGTCCCCTGCGGTAATCCCCGTTGTGCCTCGTTTGACAAGATCAATGATTTACGAGGATCTTGAAAGCGCGGGGAAGGCCGGGTTGCTCGCTCGGCCTCGAAAATAAGTTTCTAGACTGCCTCCGCTGACGGGGTGAACATATGCAAAAAATGGAGCCGGGAATTGCTACAGGAACTGTAAATTCTCCGGAGACAATACCTACGGGCTGAGCTTTTCACCCTCGTTTCTGCGTTTCTCCCTTTCTCCTTCTCTCTCTCTCTCTCTCTCTCTCTCTCTTTCTCGCCCTCCCACGGCTTTCTCCATCGTTGCGTAAGACCGGCGACGTGAGCTGCGTGTTCTTTCCGTCAGCCGGTAGTTTCTTTCCCTGAACATGGAAATATCTGTGCGTCTCCCTCGTCAGCTCGCGGCGCCCTAAAACTGGCGCCTGCTCGAGAAAAGCTATCGTTTTGTTTGCCTTCTGCCCTACGACATATGTATAAACATTTGCATCGTTCCTTCAGGGCACGAAAACGCGAAGGAAACGTGACCCAAGTGCTTCGTTGTGTGTTGTTGAACTGTAAATGTGCATGTTGTAAACGAGTCTCTAGCTTTCCTCTCAGCACGGCGCGAATTAAGAGACGGATGTAAAATACTTACTTTATTTAATCCGTAAGTCTCGTGCAAACTAAACATTATTCATGCCGCGATATGTGGTCATATAATCTCAAGAATATTTAATTTGTGTAATTTAATTTTGAAATAGTAGCTGCATTATTTCTCTCTCAAATTGTTAACATTTATTTAAAAAATATTCCGAGAGATGTATTAATCTCACTAAGCTCGAAGGCGTTCCTCTCTTTTCTTCCATTATAACTTTTTTCTTCCGGAGATACACGGTGCAATACGGTGATAAAGCATGGGAATGCGTTAATCAAGCTTCTTATTGCGGCAGGGGAGTTACTAACTAGTTACCGGCTTATTTAAAACTTGAAATTAATTGAGTTTGTAGGGAAGCTCCTAACAAGCGAAAAAAAAAAGAGAACGCAGCGGAGGATAAGCGATGCAATACACAATACCGGATCTTATTTCGTCGCGCTTTTTGCGCGGAAGAAACGCTACGTAAGAGATTCAGCAAAAAATTTCGTTCGCTCGGAAGATGTCAGCGTTTTTGACGTCAGTCTCTTCGGTAATTACTTTGAAACAAAACGCTGACCGATCGTTCGCGATCTTTATTTAAAGTATCGTGTTTCATTTACTGAAATATCGTTTTCTTTAAACAAAGCACTACATCTGACGTGGGTAATTATTTCGTTGAACAAATTGCGCATGGAATATGATTAATTTTTTTATAATGATTCGCGATGTTAACCAGCTACGACCAGGGAGAGAAAAAAATATATCCGTTACTCCTTCCTTCTCCTCCTCCTCCTCTTCCTACTTTCTCTTCCTCTTCTCTGGATTTTAATTCGCTATTAATCATACGCGTGCAGTCACTGGCGAAGAGGGTGGCTACGTTAGCGGAAACGTTTCATCCGACATATTATCGATTCCTTCGCGAAGAGAGGGGAAAGGCTTAGCCGCGGAAGCGTTTCATTTAAATAATTTCATGCGTGAATACGTTTCGTCTCTTCGAGCAGAGGGAGAGAGAGAGGGAGAGAGAAAGAGAGAACGGTCGAAGCCGGAAACTACCCGAGGCCGAGTGTTCATTTGACATTCATTTAGTCCGTGGAAGTCGCGATATTGCTCCGACGGCCATTTAGGGGCGGCCGCAGAAATAGTCTCGAGGGTAGAATGTAATCGCTGGAAAACGAGCGACCCGGCTTTCTTTTTTTCTAAATATGCCTACTGACTTATTGTTAGAAGCAGCTCTTCCGGCATGAGATGCTTTGTCTTATCAAATCCGGACATTATGCGCGCGCAAAGTACTTTCCAAGAAGATTATAGGGGTTGAATACCGGGGGGTGCCAGTTTATTTACGTAATTGTAGAGAGATTGTATGTATGTTATAATCGGATATATTAGAACTGTATTACTATTCAGTTATCGTTGATTCCATAAGATATGAGATGTTACCGCATTAAAAGTTTCAGATAATTCGCTATTATCTCTGAGAAAAGCTAAATACAATAATTATGTTTTAGCGCTATAGAAATTTTTAGTAAATGTAAAGTAATCTAATTTTTTCCATCACGAACAACGCGCGCACAGCTCGACTCATTTTCTTAAATCTCGCAATTAATTAGGGTGTGCGAGCGGAGATACAAAAGAGGTTGCCTAAAGAATGGTCTGAGGACGAAATCGCCCAACTTACGGAACTTTGGACACAGCTCAAAGACGATGACGGTAATATTCAAATTTTATGTTTTTTTTTAACATTACTTTTATTATGCTGTTTTCTAACTTTCCCTTTTATTTCTTACTTTCGTAAAATATTAATTTGATCAATTGCTAGGCTTTTGCATTTCTTTCATTTCGCATATTTTTCGAATTATTTGTTTTTAATAGTATGCAATTAATTACAACTATTAATCACGAGTAACTGGAACAAAGAGTGAAATTTATAACTTGATGGTCATAATATAAATTTTGCGGAATTCTGGCGGCGATAACTGCCATTTTTCGCAATTTTTAATTTATCCCTAAATCATGCACGTTAAAAACGGCCTTAACCCAATTGTCGATATAAATTTCCTCGATAGAAATTCGCAGTAAATTTCAACGTTAATTCTTGCCGGTTATTCGCGTTCCGAAACTGTTGAAATATTTCGCGAATGCGAAATTCGTGCGAGAATTCGTTAACACCGGAACGATTCCTAGGATTTAATTAAGCTCCGAACATCGGACACGCTTGGCTGCTTGTAGTAATAATTTCGAATCCGTTGGGACGAACGAAGAATAATATCCTTCCTGACAGAGACATTTTCAGAGAAGTCTTGTAAAACTTGTTTCATTTTCATACGAATTCGCCGCTCTCCATAACTTTTAATCTCCGAAGTCGCTTCCACGCCAGGCGTAATTCTCAGATGTCCGCGAAATGTCAAGGGCATTTTTCTTCGCCTTTCTTAAAAAAAAAAATCTCCGCAAAGTGCTTTATTCTCCCCCGTTTTATTTTCACTTTTCGCAATTGTTAACCCTAAAACGCCTCATGAAGGGACAGAAAGTATCCGCACAAATTTCACGTAGCAAGATATAATTCTTTGTAGACCTAAAGTTATGCCATCACAAATTTTTAAATTGTTTAGAGCTAGTACCGTTTTTGTATTTGTTGATAAAGCAATTTCTTATGGCCTTTTAAAAATCAAATTATGAATTCATAAAAAGCGAATTCAATCGACGTATAAATACATTTTGTCTTAGATAAAAAGAAAAAGAAGTTGCGCCTCTTCGTAAACTGTAATTGATTCCAAGTTTAAATCCCTTTGAAATCTCTGACAATCACTTCGACCTTCCCCGCGTGCGATTCTTCTACGAGAATCCTCCCTATCACTCGCGTTGTGCCCGCTTCTTGACGACGCTATAAAAATCGAAACTACACTATGTCTCTGACAGATCCCGTGGATTTGATTTTCACCGGTCTCAGAATAAAGCGATCGAAGCCGAAGATCAAGGAGAAGCTTTTGGAATTAGGATTGGTGCAGGATCGCAAGGAGCTGCGCAAAAAGCGAGCTAGAAAAAGTAACCAGGGTGAGTATACCTATTCGTTCTTCCTCCCTCATCACGATCCGGTCTAAAGCATCCCTTGTTCCGGCCAATCCCATCCCATTTCATTCGCATCTGTCTTTCTTACTATCCTCCGATTCCGCGACTATTCCCATTCGATCAGTCTTCTAGTAACGCGATTGCCGGCGACTGCATAGAGCGACTCGCTTTCAACAGCGGGAGCGAAACGACGTAGAAGCGGAAGGAACACGCGGGAGGAAGCGAGAAGGAGCAAAGATCAATTTGTACAGGATTCTTCTCGCTCTCCTGTCCCGATTTCTTACGGATCGCGGGGGGTAGGGGTGAAAAAAAAAACCTTTCGTCGATATTACGTACAGAGACAGGTCCGCTCGTATCTTTGCAAAATCGTTTCTGTTTTTCCTCTCTTTATTCCCCGAGAGTGGAGCGAGTGCGGTGAGTTCTGCGAGAATTTTTACTCCTGTATGCGAATTATTCTGGTTTTTGGTTTCGATGCCGCGAGAAAAAGAAACATTATCGTTGAACCGCGCGCGGATAGAACGTGTAACATGTTTAAATTAATATTTGCACAACTATTGATTTTAAGACAATGTTTAAAGTGTGAATAGCGCCGGATTAACGAAGGGATGTATTAATTTAGAAATTCCGATGTCCAAGTATGCCAGAGATGTGTGAAAATTCAAAAATAACGCTACATGTGTTGTGTATTTTGATTAAATTATTTAAGTATTAAATCCCTGTTTGCACACAAACAGTCGGGTTACGCAGTAATTTGCGTGATAGAAATTATATAGAATCGGGATGCGCTGTGAACTGGATACTATTCCGAGCAATTTAACTGTATCACATCGGACATATATATCTGCGGTATTCCGTGGCCACATAAAATATAATCATATATATGCAAGTAGATTCGTCCTTTTTAAAACACTAGCGCAGATTTATTTATTAGTGGAATAATATAATAACGCAGCTTTCCATAATTTTTCATGATTTAAAATTAATAAATATTTTACACGCTAAATTTAGAATACATACATCTTTTTTATCACGTTCGCTAAATAGAAAACCGTTATAATAATTAATTACAAATATGATATTTAATTTTATACATCTTTTAATTATTTTTGCTTGTATAAACGTGATACCTACATCACGAGAAAGATTCACATAATTTTCAAAGTTGTGTCATCCAATTTCTTAGGTGATCGAACTAATATTTACGTTCTCCTTTTATTTCCGTCGCACGTATTTGATGCCGATAACGATATCATCACGGAATATCAATCTTGTTATTTAATATCGGCTGCGAATTCCAGCCGCACTTTCACCGCTCTTCGACCAATATCACTCGCCTTAACTTCCTATTATAGTGCCGGAAGGAATTTCATATTTATCATGGATATTGTTTTCCCCTCTCATACCTTATTTGTATTCAATGCATTGAGATAGCTCATATCGTAGATATACAGCTGTGAGATGAAGCATTGCCGAGAAGTTTTGGTTCCGGCCTTATGTGTCTTTGAAATAACATTTTTCCCCCAACGTCATGTTTTGATGCAATTTCGCTATCCATACGATACTCTCTCGCAGAAAATGTGATTGTTCTTTGAAATAGATAGCTCATATACATTAGTTCGTCGGATATATTGCTCTTCTATGTATATAGATTTATTTGATCTAATTATATTTATGTGCAATAGAGTGCAGCATTCTTAAAAGCCTACATAATACATTCAGAATGGATATAAATTTATATTGTGCAGAGGATTATATTTGAGATATCTGCATTTCTCCGCACGAGAAGTAGAAAAAGAAGTTGAAAGTCGTCGTTCAGTATTATAGATTTTATATGTCCTTCCGCATACATATTACACGCAAGATTTATTTAATGTCACGTGAAATACCTCGCGCACATACATACGCGACACTACGCGGCGCGCTTTACACACGCTGATGAACGCTCGCTTGAGAAAGGTTCACATCGTTTCCATGCATTGTGCGCGAAGGTAAATCGTCGTGGGAAACGCAGGCTGCCAGTAATTCTGACGGGAACGAAAGTTCAGCCACCGACGACGAAGACGGCGAAGAAACTCGAAAATCCTCGAAGCGCGGCGATGCGCCTCCGAGCGAGTCGATGAAAAAGAAGCAGCGGAACAAGCGGAAGCTAGCGACGATCGTTTACACGGATGCACAATTATCTGGTCTCTTGAAGGACGTCATCGACAGGGGTAAGCATGGCCGCCCTCGCTCGGCTTTTCTCTCCGACGTGCATCCGCGTTTTTGTGATTAATGAAAGCGCACTCGTCGCTGGAGCGGCGCGTGCAACGTATCCCCCGTTTCCTCCACGCAGGATAAATGTTCTCCTTGCCGGAGAAAAGGGAGAATGGCGATGATTTGCAGAAGCTATTACGCAAAAAAAAAAGGAAAAAAGAAATGATGACTTGCTAGAAAAACGACTTCTCAAGTCACTGTGCAGGCCGCGTTGCGGGTTTTGCGGATCCTAAAAAAACAGTTGTTTTTTTGCGAAATTTATCAATTTAATCCGTCTATGCGAATTCACCCGTCTTGACTCTTAAATTCACGAATAATACAGTAATTTATAAAATTCTTAACGCCCAACGGAGCTGCAAAAGTATGTTTCATGCTCCAGAATTGTTTCTGAAAATATTAGCCGACTGCAAAATATCGTGAAAGTAACGTAAAATTTAAGAAATAACGCGCAAGTGATTTAATCAACAAGCGAAATTAAATTATTAACGTAAAAAATTAAAATATTAATGGAAAGTATATCTTGAAAAAATTTTACGATAAATCAGATATGAGAGAGGCGCTGGAATGGATCAAGGAATCTCTGCAAGACGTTCTGGACGATCGTGACGAAGAGAGCTCGGAGGGCATACCCTTGGTGCCACTGACAGATTACTCGGCGACCGCGATGGATTCACCGAGTTTTCAAAAGCTCCTCCGCGCCCTGGGATTTGTGCCACCGGCTGATGCCCAGGAATCTTATTGGCGTATTCCGGCGAATATGCTTACAATCACGATCCAGAAACGTTGCAAACTCATTGAAGACGCTCTAGCCGGCAAATTCATCGTCGCTGGTGAGTAAATTAGCATCATTCGAGAGTAGAACTTCCTAATGAAGGTTATTTACCGAAACGTTTTGTAGAGACACAATTAGAACGTAAAGACCATTCGGATTCTGACGAGAAGATGAACGATAGCGAGGACGAGGACGTGTTCGAGAGTGTTAAGAAATTCTTTGCGCCCAAAGGTCAGTATACTGCGCTTTTTTTTAAATTATTGAATAACTTTATTAGAAAAAAGAAATGTGCTCTCATTATTTTGCAAAAAATAATTTTGCAGATTATTACAAAATTGATTTTCAGAACTCGGAAAAAAAGTATAGCGGCTGATTTATTGTTAAAATTAAAACTTTGGACTATGTTTTACACGTTTAGAAGTTTTTTAAATTAATTTTAAATTAATTTTAAATTAAGATTTTTTTACGCAACATATATTAAAATATGTAAAGAAATCTTTTATATTTATATAATATATAGAAATTTATAAATCTCGAGTTTTTTTCTAGAACCGGAACCGTCTACTTCGAAACAATCAGAACCTGCAAAGATTTTGTTGTCACAGAAATCTAAAAAGTTTTCAGAACTAAATGAAGGAACCAATGAAACTGAAGTTGTAGAAGGTATATCATTAATAATTAAATTAGTCGTGTTTCAGCCATAGAACCAGACTAGGATAACATTTTCTCGCCCTCTGTTATTAAAACCCGTAGGTTGCTTTCCCTTTATCACGTATTTACCGACGAACGAATTTGCGAACGAATCTGTTTATTAGAAACAAATTTATTTAATTTTCAAACATTAGGAATAATTGCAATTGAGGTATGTAAAATAATAATAAAATAATTATAAATTTTAGAGAACGTAAGAAGCAAAGTAAGACATCGAGCAAAGATGCTCGATGATTCTTCCGAATCCGAAATGGAGATTGAAGAGAACATCGATGATAAGAACGGTTAGTAACGCATGCTGATAAAAAATAAAAATGTTCCAGTCAATGTTCTGTATAATAAATTATTCCAAAAATTTTTGCACATGTTACAGACGATGTAAAGAGAGATAGATCTGATTCTTCCGATACGAATGAGCCGTCCAATAAAAAACGTCGCCTACTCGATAGCGACGATGAGACAGAACTGAAAAATGGAAATACAAACGGCGCTCGTATAATAATTAGCGATGATGAAGAATCATTGTCCAACGCACGGCCTGAGCGGCCAAAATCATCTCGTATAATAATTAGCGACGATGAAGATTAAGAAAACATTTTAATTTTATTTTCATTTTTGCTATATGATAATTTTAATTTATTTTGAATGCTTCAAATATTATCATTCAATAGTTTTATTTTATTTTTTATGCTTTTCAGCTCAAGTGGAAAGACAGGTATTAACGCATTTTATTGATTTACTTTTGTAAGAAACATTCATCGCTAAGATATAAAAATGTAGCCAGTTTTGATAAGTTGATTCACACAATGAGTCCCATAATAATTTGAATACATAAATTTATGTGTAACTTTCTATTCTAAAGTTTTTCTAATAGCTTTAGCATTGTTAACTTCAGTTGGGAAGGCGATATTCGAGAGACTCTTTTACAGGCATCAGCTTTACCCGCGAGTGTTCGAACCGGGGCACACAAACAGTACGCATTGTTAAGCTTCGTCAGGGTCCCGCGTGTTCTTCTCGATCGCGACACACCTTTACAGGACAATCCGGGGTACACTTCAGGGTGCCAAGAAAAACAGTTCCCGAAAGACGTCCACATTTTGTCAAGTAACGACGAAGAGAACATGCAGGCATGTTGGTGCCGGCTGGCTGGTACCTCTGGTGCGATGCTGCGCGGGCTTGGATCATATAAACGGCCATGCGCTTCCCGCCGAGATCACAATCCCAGCGCTCGCGTGGCACCTCCTCGGTTACGTGTTCTCCGGTTCGATGGTTGGCCAATGTGGATGACTTTACGTCTTTTGATGGGCAGGTGAGGAGTCTTGGCGAGTGTTAACGATACGTACGTGTGCATCGAGACGTAATCGCGCGACGAAAGACCAGACCTCACCTTTTTCGATACCACCTTCGACGGCTAACGACGATGCCGCCGACCGCGAACCTGCGCGGATGTCGCGTAATGTCGGCGCAAGGACTTCGCGACTCGCGGATATACGATCAGGGAATCATGCCAGGCGAGGAATCGTGAAAAACCTAGCCACGAACCTAGCCATGAATACATGTTGTCGTTGTGTATGTAATAACGAAGCTGTCTGAACCAATTCACATACATAGCTGCACAAAGAAAATTTACAGGAGGGCACTAATCACTTATTTAACAACAAAGGACTAATTATGCTTACTTTTTTCTATTTTTTTATATTTCTAATTCTTATATTATCTAAATGGTTTAGATAATATAAAATAAGTAAGATGACGAAATAAGTAAGATGCTTAAATGATAAATTATTATAAATTGAATAATAATTTAAGAACAATGAAATATCCAGATTGATTTATATATTCCAGAGATACATTTCTTTTTGCAATTTTTTATCGACTCAACAGACATCGCTTATTATAATGCAAACAAATGTCATTTCATATCGCAATATAAAATGTAATCTTAATATAAGCAGAGAGTTAATTAACAAGTTAAATTTTGCGTCTTACCTGGTCAGGCTACATCTTACTTACGTTTGAAGAACGTACATTTTTGACGGCGGGTCGACGACGATGACTACCGGCATCGATCGTCGTACCGTCTTTGTCTCTATAGAACAACCAGATTCCAGAAGGGTGACCACGTGCATTCTAATCTCAACTTTCGGATGCCAGGCACGCACGACGCCGCAGGAGGCAACGCGTCGCGGCGAGTCCACTCGCAAAATGCAAGCAGGCTCATCGGGCCGAATAGCTTTTGCGTAGTAAGATAGCATGCAAACGAGTTAGTGGCGCGCGACCTTCGTGATTCTCTGCTCTCCTGGTAGAAGCGCGGGCTTCTTATACGGTTGTAGGTGGATAGCATCCTCTCTCTGTGTTCCCACTCTATCTGCAGTCTCCCCCACCATACGCCGCACTCTCCACGCTCCATATCTTTCACGGCAGTCTCCCCCACCCGTCACACATTCCTTTCCTTCACGTTCACCTTTCGGTTAGATTGAATGCGAGAAAATGGCAAAGCGATTTTTTAAGAATAAACAAGAATGCTGGCGTAGAAAAATATAGTATTGATAAAGATTTGAATACTGATATATCAGTATATACAAATGAAAATGCTTCACAGCTCCTTATAAATAATTAAGGAGCAACAAAATCAATATTCTCTTTGTGTAATATTTGAAATAGCAAAAAGAATTGTTAGACTTTCCGAGTAATTAATTATCAGTTACTTGATATCGATATCTTTTCCATTG